CCCCCGCCCCCGCCGAGCCCGCGCCGCCCACGGGGGCGCCCCCGAGAAGCCCGAGCGCCCCCAGCGGCGCACCCACCCCGGGGCAGAACAACCTCAACAGGCCCGGGCCCCAGCGCGCCACCAGCGTGAGCGCACGCGCCTCCATCCCGCCGGGGTAAGCCGGGGTCCCGGGGGCGGGGGCTTCTGTGTGGACCAAACCCAGGGGTGGCTGCTCACTGGGACGCGAGCAAAGACTTGCAGGGTTAACCCTGATAAGTGCTACCCTGCGTCTAGTAAGTACTGCTTTGTGCCAGGCGTTACCTAAGCACCCCAACGCGGGTCCTTCGTGTACCTCAATGCGGGGCTGTGTGAAGTCCGTGCCCTCCTCAGCTCCGCTTTACCGATGAGGACACTGAAGCTCCGGAGGGTCAGTGACTTTTCCAGGATCACAATGCGATGGGGCCACGGTTCGGAATAACAGAGCGTGGCCGGCGTTGGTTACTCCCTAAACTCTCTGCATCCCCTCATCTATTCCAAGCGTGTTCTCCCATGCTCAAATAATGCATGGGGAGACTGAGGCTGGGAGCCCTAGAGTACCTTTCCAAGCATCATCCGGCCAAAGAGCAGGAATCAGAGTCCAGACGGGGAACTCCAGGGTCTGCATTCTGTCTCTTCACATTTTTTTTGGGGGGGGGATTTTTTTAGGGTATGTACGCTGCAGGGAGAGACAGAGACAGAAAGTGAGAAATGACTGTCAGGGAGGACGGCTATGATGCAGTCCCTTCTCCTCCATTCTCCTCTTGGGATTTTGGGCACACAGGCACACATGCCTAGTGTGAGTTTCAAGCTGCCAGGTCTGGGACTCGAACTACCATTGGCCACGTGGGAGTCTAGTGCCTCAACCACCACGTCTGACTCCTCTCAGCATCTTTAAAGGGTTTCCGTGCCAACCCACTAGTGAATGTGGTTCTGACGTGGTGACTCTCACGATCTTTAGCTGCTTGTCCAAAATATTCCCCCTTAGGCCACCCCTGAAATACCGCCATTACTTCAGGTTAATACGGTGGCTTTTGAACTGGGCTCCAGCAACTACTGGGGTGACCTGGAGCAGTGGGGGTGGCATGTGCATAAGATGGACTCCTGAACAGGAAGAGC